GATGTTTTAACCATTTCTCTCCACAGGGACTATGTTGAATCTGTAGATCTGGCAGGTCATGCTCAATTCCTTGCCAGAATTGAAAGGGTTAATAACAACTTATTCTTTCCTATGCAAATAAATGACTTAGGAAGAAGTAGGAATGCAAAGCTGGACTTACAGAGTGAGAACAGCTATATTAGCAGAAGTCTGTTAAAGCAGATCGCTAATCCTAAAATGATCAGGTACGCTTCCCCACATGACAGGTGGATCCAGGATCTGGATGGCGAATCAGAGAGTCACAATGTGATAGCAAAATGTTTACTATCTATTTCCATCGGAAATAAGACCGTTAAACATTTATTCCTAGTGATAGACGAACCCCGCTATCAGGTTTACGTTGGCAATGATGTCATACATCGCTTTGCCATACACCTTGACCTGATTAATTCCAACTTGTGGACAAGGTTAACAGGTAATCCTTGTGGTTACCTACACGAGGAAAACACCCTGAAATCAGGACAAATACTCCCATATGCGGTAAGCATCCAAGTTCCTGATGACATAACCATTCCACAGGGGACAAGTAATTTTCTTTTACCCCTACAGGTCAAGAAGGGTCAGAGATTAGAAAACTGTGATGCCCTAATCTGTTTATCCAATAGGATACAACAATTAGGGATGCTGGTAACACATACACCAATGGTAAGTATTGGTAAGAATCCCACCTATATCATGGTCAACAATGTTACACCCAATAGTGTTACTTTACCAAAAGGAACATTACTAGGTCTAGCATTGGATGCTGAGTACTATACATTTGGTTTCCAAAACAAAATTATAGGCCTCATCCCTGAAGAATACTTAACTGAGGACGAAATGGTCGATCAAATATTCCATTCCTCCCCAGAAGGATTATTCACTATCCTATCTGTGTATCCCTTCAATGTTGAAGGCTCGTGTAAAATCGAAGAAGCATCTATCACCTTCGATCATCCGCTCAATGAGCAGGAATCACAAGAGTATCACGACCAAAGAGAAAAGGTAAGTCAACACCGAACTGACCTAACTTCTAGGCTTGAAGAAGCTTACGAGATAGGCCAGCCTGAAATCTTTCCAGGATTTCAGGAAAGGCTAGAAGAGCAAATATCTTTAGCTGACGGTTGCTCCAACGATGCTGAGCGGCAACAGCTAAAGGAAATCCTTTTGGAATTCCAAGATATTTTTGCCAAAGATTCCTACGACTGTGGGTTAACTAACCTCCACGTAGCCAGAATACAAACTGATCCAAATTTACCACCTGTATTCATCAAACAATATAGACTCCCATTAGCGTCATATGATGGTCTACAAGACATCATTCGGAATTTAAAGGAAAGGGGCATTATACGTCCAGTGCACAGTTCGTATAATAATCCAATCTTGGGGATTCTGAAACCTAATGGACAATGGCGTTTATGCGCTGACTTACGACAGCTAAATAAACGCGTCTATATGTCTGGTTGGCCAACGCCATACATAGCCCAATGTTTGGTACAAATGCAGGGATCCAAAATATTCACTGCCATTGACTGTGCGCAGGGATATTGGACTGTACCAGTCCATAATGAAGACCAATACAAATTGGCCTTCACAAATTGGCCTTCACATTTGGAAAGCAGCAGTATACCTGGACCCGTATGCCTTTCGGTTACATAAACTCTGGTCATGAATTTGCTGTGTTCATGCATAAAGCTATGCCTGACGCACTCGAGAGAGGAACGTTATCATATGTCGACGATGTCTTGCTGAAAAGCACTTCCTTTGATAAGCATATCTTGGAGATTAGACATGTTCTCACTCAGTTAAGAGAAGCAGGAATTAAACTGTCTTTACAAAAGGCACAATGGTGTCGCACCCATGTCAATTTCCTCGGACATGAGGTAACTTCTGAAGGATTAAATCCCCAGAGGAAGAAGGTTGAAGCCGTACTAAAGGCTAAAACACCTTCAAACATCAGGGAATTAAGATCGTTCCTTGGTATGACTAACTACTCCCGTAAGTTTATAGATAACTATGCAGAAATAACTAAACCACTCTTACACCTGCTTAAAAAGGAAACTACCTGGAACTGGGGGGAGCCTCAGGACCAAGCGGTAAGTGAACTGAGGAGGAAGCTCACTCAGGCACCCTGTTTAGCATACCCAGAGGGGGGTAAACCCTTCTATCTGGAGACAGGATATACCGATTTAAGCATAAGTGCTGTTCTGTATCAGAAGCAGGACAGTTTAAACAAAGTTATTGCATATGCTAGCAAGACTTTGTCACCTGTTGAAGTTAAATTCAACACGTGTGAGAAGGCGTTATTGTCGACTGTCTGGGCACTACAAAATTTTCGTAGCTATATCCAAGGTGAGAAAATAATTGTAGAAACAGCTCACCAACCTCTACAGTATCTGCAGAGTGAAAGAATTAGAGACGGTAATCTCTCTAACAGTCGGATTACTGCATGGACTCTATCCTTACAGGGATGGCCGTTAGAAGTCCGTTATAAACATAATAAGAGAAGCCCAGTTGCCCAAGGTTTAGCAGAATTACATGATTGTACTGCTCCATCTCTGGATGATAATGACACCGGAGATGACTTCCTAGAAGAGCAATTGCTATCTCCTTATAAAGTTTATGACGAGGAATACTGTCAACCACTACCGTGGGTATACATTGATGGTTGTTCATATCACCACGTCGTTGGTACTGAACGGAAGTTAGCTGCAGGTATCGGAATCGCCTGGATAGGTGATTATCCTAATGTATCTATAGGATACAATATTGGTCCCAAAAGCAGTCAGATAGCCGAACTCTGTGCAGTATATAAGACCATTCAAATGGCAATAGAATATGGTATCAAAGAATTTGTTATTATAACTGATTCTAACTATGTTCGCAACAGTTTCGTCGAATATCTGCCTAGCTGGAAACGTAACCAAATGCTGAAAAGCAATAACAAACCTGTTAAACATGGGAAATTGTTTTGTAAAATCGATGAACTGGTTAAGGAAAATGGTTTATCCATATATTGGAAGAAAACCAAAGGCCATTCTAAAATAGAAGGTATTGACAAGGATGGTAATGACTTAGCCGATTCACTGGCAAAACAAGCTGCCATCAATGGTGAAACCCTAAACATTGATGATCTTATGGGTTCAATTCATGTTGAAGCCATAACTAGACGACAGGCTAGAGATAATGCCGACTTAAATGTCGTGCAATGGAGTCAAGAAGCTCCTAGTGAGGACCTGATTACTAGTCAAAAGAACGATCCCGTCATAGGTATATTCTATAAACATATAGAAGACCCTACTGCCAATCCCATCACAGATGTGGATTGCAAAGATAATGAAGATTTACGAATCTTGATGAGATATAAAGTCCAATTTAGTATCATGGATGGGTTACTGGTCAGAACTTCTAAACATGGTATACAACAATGGGTAGTCCCAACTGTATACAGAGGGTTAATGCTCCAACACGCACATGATGCACCTACATCTGGGCATCGTGGTGATAAGATCACATATGAGATATTGCGTGATTATGCATATTGGCCACACATGTTAAGGGATGTTAAGACATACTGTCAGGGATGCTTGATTTGTCCGCAATATCAACCCCATGGTCCAACCCATCGTGCACCACTTCAGAAGAGGGGGGTGTCATTACCCTGGTCTGATATTCAAATTGACTTTATAGGTCCTGTAACAAGATCTTCAAGAGGTAACAAATACATGTTAACCATTACATGTATGTACACAAAGTGGATAGAATGTTTGCCTTGTAAAGAGAACACGAGTACCGTGTGCGCCACTTTGTTGATTAACCATGTCTTTTCCAGGTTCGGTCTGCCTCAAAGAATTGAGTCAGACAGAGGTAGTCACTTTACCAGCGAAGTAATGGCTAAGATGTGGAACATTCTAGGTGTTAAATGAAAGCTACATATTGCATACCGCGCTGCGTCTAGCGGGGGGGTAGAGCGATATAACCAGTCTATCGTTAATATTCTGAAGAAATATGTTAAGGAGTCTGGTAAAGACTGGGACATTAAATTGCCCCTAGTTTTAATGGCGATTAGAGCTACACCTAGCACTGCTACCAAATTGTCACCTTTTGAATTGATGACAGGAAGAAAGATGGTTTTACCACAGCATTTACTATATCGTACTTCGGATCATAACTTGATCAATGCTGCCACTACGCATCAGTATATCGAAGATTTGCGCAAGCATTTACAGCATGCATTTGCTTTTGCCCAAAAGAATCTAGAAAAAGCAGCGACAGGGGTTAAGACCTATTACGATCTAAAAACCACGAAAAAGGAATATGAGATCACAGATCAAGTCTATCTGTATAACTTTGCGCGAAATCAAGTTAAGGAAAATAAATTTTTACCTTCTTGGAAAGGGCCATATGTCATCATTGACAAAATTTCCCCTGTAGCGTATAAGATAAAATTTCCTAAGGATGGTGATTTTATTGAAAAGTGGGTTCACATTAACCAGTTGCGTGCGTGTCATCCTAAATCTCAATTAAGGATTATAGGTGTGGATTCAGATGCAGAAGGGTGAACGACTAACCTGGATGAATGCTTGATTCACGTGGTATCGTATGATGTGAATTGTTGTGATGTGCCATGATCTCATGTACGTTCATGTCATTAACCATTTCCTTGCCATCCAATAACTACATTTTATAAGCAGGTTACTAGCTTGTTTAACTGCTATAGGCAAATTGCTGAAGAGTCAGTAATAAATGTAGTGAGAGATGAAGTTATAAAAATGGAATTAGACAGAATACATATGTGATGAATCGTAAAAATGTGTTGACCTAGGCCAAGTGATGTCACACTGTTATAAGTTTGTATGCTTAACAAACCTTGAATCATTAGTAGATAAGTCTGAAACGAGTTCCTGATCCGTGACTGTCGAAAGATGTCCAAGAAGGATGTGGCGTGTTTCTGGATCGTACTGCTCCTGTGCCAAGAGCTACGGACCGACCCGATCGCAGAGATGGGACCATCCTCCGGCATCCTGATTCAAGAGACACCAGGGTTCATCTTGACAGAGAAGAGGATCCTGACCCGACGTGTGTTCGTCAGCTTGGACCCCAAGATTTCCATCGAGAAGGCATACAACATTTCATCGATGCAGCTTCCTGAGTTACAGACTTGGTACCAGATGCACCTCCAAAGAGCACAGGACCGTGTGCGAAACATCTTGGAGCAAGCCCGGAAACCATTTGTATCCAGTTCTATTCCGATGAGCAACCGACCCAAAAGGTTCCTCACCGCTATAATTGTTGCATTAGTTTGTGCCACTGTCGGTGCAGTTGTCGCAACTGGAATGTCTGCAGCCAACTCTATTACTGTCCAAAAGCTGGATATGGAAATCTATGCGCTAAAGCAACACATTAACGATATTCATCAGGTGATAAACCAGCAAAGAACACTTCTCCAAGATGTGTTAACTATTGTGGAAGACACAGTTGTTACAACAAATTTGCATTCAGAGTTAATTGCCAAATCCACTGAGTTGCACCAAAGTCATGACTTATTTAAGCGTGAACTTCTATTTCTGCATGACCCAATATTGTTCCACACACTTGCTTTTCTTGATGAAGTGCAAACTGGAATGATCGAATTGGCAGGGGGACGCATACCTCTGTACTTTGTATCCAAGGATATTGTTCATGTGATGCTTGCCAATGTGGATGGAGAGACAATTGAGCCTATGCAATTAAATCTGGCCTTTGAGATGGGGAGCGCTATACCTCTCTTAATTGATCCGGAACGTATGGAGATTTGCTTTTTATTGACCATACCATATGTAACTCCCAAAGACATTTTTCAAATGAAAACAATGTACTATGTTAATAATGATATTATGGTTGATTGTACTAAGTGTAAAGTTCAAAACTTTTACAGGTACAAATATATACAAAAATGTTCATTCCACGCACGGGCCTATGTTAGAAATGATGTGATTGCACAATATGTCTGGTAACTTCTATAGTGCTTATTCATAAGCTAAATTAATTTTGGCTATGAAATGCACTAAAGGGGGGTTATGTCAGAGTATTTATATCGGCAGACATTTTGTGCTATGATAGAAACTAAAAGTGTATATTCTGAGTCACTCTGAACAGACCAGACTCCATTTTGTTATTCCAAGTTAACAAAAACAAAGAAGACACTAGATTTCTTTCTGTAAGACTGGCCTCTTTGCCAGAGCTAAGGAATGCATAGTATATACAAGCCAAGTGATAAGGAAGGGGGTTGGACAGACTGTCTAATGCTAATGGAATATAATCAAATCTAAACCCAGACAATTGTGACAGAGAAGATTAAATTTAATATTTAACTGTCTATATATATAAGGTACCATTGTATGGAAAAGGGTAAACTTAGTTCATGATCTGTCATATCAGAAATTATGGCAGGAATTGCAGACGCTAAGTCTGGACAAAATTTAAGAAATCCTTTGAAATTTTGAATTATGGCGCTATAAAGATAACGCAAAATGACGTCAAAATAGCCACCAGGAAAAGTTAACTCTTTCCTGGATAGGTATGTTTAGTGGGACAAGACTGCCCTCTACAGACCAAATAACTAATTTGCGATCTGGAAGATAACCACACCTCTAGTGCTTCTATTGGGTTATCAACTGATGACGTACAGAGAGTCTGGCCCTTTAAAAGTTAAGACAAAGGGAAGATAGAAAAATAGGAGGCAGATGCAGGACATATGCAAAGGAGAGGAGAGAGGAATTGGAAGTTTGGGGACTCCAACTCGGACAACATCTGAGACTAACACTCTACTCCTAAAACTCTAACACTTAGAATTTACTGACTTTCTAACCAACACCTCCATGCAGAGAGACTACCAATCGGATGAAATATCTACTCAACTGGTAATTATACTGGTTTCATTTAATTAAATTAAATTAATTAAAATGTATTAATAGCATTATATATGACTGGATAAAGCACGGTCAGATTTCCATATTAAGAAATCTTAGTTAACTAAGAATATATAGTTATAAACATTCCATTCTGCAGGTGGAATTAAGAATAATTATATATTGATGTGATATTATCACGTGTTAGCATACCGCTGTTTTTATCCAGGTGTATTGATTTGCTCTAAATTAAGATAGATATCTTTTAGACAAATTAAAAATCTGCTTATATAATGTTAGATTCTCTTATTGGATGGTTTAAGAAAATGAATTTAAACTGGATTAAATGTTATTTTATTTAAAATGACATCAGAATAGATCTTAACTACCTAGGAGATCTAGCCAGCATTGAAAGGGTTATTCTAACTGTCTGCTAAACTTTACGACCTTACGCTGCACTCTGAGGAATTCTGTTCTCTGTGTGAAAAGTTTCACTTTCAATCTGTGTAAGGATACCTCATAAATCGTCAGAATTCTTGACAGAAAATGCTAGTTAGCCATTGAAACGTAATACCCATTCCTTTGTATTGCATACCATTTTATACTGAATATTCATTGATTATTGTCATGCATGTTACATAATATTATTTGTTAATTATTGGTTATCATAAATAAAATCTATTTTTATACATTGTGATATCAATTATATGAAATACATTCCACTTAACACGATAAACGTTCTTTGGGATCTGAGAATTGAATTAGTGGGCAATTCTCACTGTTACTATTATTATCCCATAAATATCCCCACACTCTTTAAATCATACATCCCCTGGTAGCCCTGATCTGGGTGACCAACATATCCAAAAATCACCCAGATCAGACCAGGGGTTCGGGAAAAGTATGGAGGGAATAAAATGACCGACCGCACGAACGGAGATAGCCGAATCCGGTTCCATGTGAATGGGCCCTGCGGTCGGTCCTGGCATAAGGGAATAAAATACACGAAAAAACCTCTAGCTATAGAGGCTAGGCAGGGTTCGCCTGAATCCCCTCGTTCGGTATTTTCTATCTACCGAACGAGGGGCCGTTCGGTAGTTTGGAACCGAACGGACCAGGGCTGTGGAGGTCTCAGTGGTGTTCGCCTACTCGAGTGTCCGATTTTAGTTCCAGACACTCGACGGCAAAACACCGCTGTTCGGGAGTTTTAAAATGGCCGCCGCCACGTGTTCGTTTGTCGAATGGCGGCCACCCCCGAGAACAAAGGACGGCTACTTACTGTTCAATTACCCGTTCGCAACAATGTTGCAACGGGTAATTGAGGACACACTTCACACAGGGGAGGTCTGGTTGTTCGGTAGTTTCATTCGAATAAACTAAGGGAATGAAACTACCGAACAATCAGAGGAATACAATTCTTTTTAATACATAGAAAATACAGCAGATACACGAATGCAGGTTTATACAGTATATTTGTAGGGTCGCCTGGTGCCATCCGCTACAGTATGCGTCCCCCTTTTTCTACAGGACACTTCAGGCATTGCGTCAGACCTAACTCCTGGGAGTGTCATTTTGCCTGGTCAAACCACTTTGGAGGAGTCAACCGTGATTCTCTCTCTTGCTGGAGTTGTCGTGGGAAGGCCCTCTACTACTCCTTGTCTCTAGATGTCACCTGTGGGATCCACAAGGGAATCCTGGGATGACTAGTGTCTGGAGAGATGTTTGGATCCCTTTTACAGTCTCTAAAATGGCTGTTCTCAACTGCCTGGCTGAATTGTCCTCTCAGGGTAAATTGTATGGGGCCATTTACGTCTTAGGTCAGCTAGCTCGACAGCTCATGTGCCTTCTCAAGATTCTGGCATTGGTAAGGACCCCTTGGTCTGCAGTCTACTTCAAGGGGTATGCCTTATGGGAGCCCTACCTCTTGCTATTCCTCAGTTTAAGTTGTATCACTTGTTCTGCTTTTCCTTGAGGAGTGGCCTGATGACAAGGATTTGTCTTTGTGACAGCTTTAACACTTAACCGGCTCTCCCAGTACGTCTTGTATTTTTTGTTGCATTCTGATGTTCGTGGTTTTGACGTAGTATCTTTTTCCTGCTCACCGTCCAGTGTGTCTGCTTCTATTCCGCACAAATCCAAATTCTATTCGTCTTCTGTGTCGTATCCCTATTCTCCAGGTAGGCCATGTCTCTGTATGGCACGTTGTCCACGATCGTGTAGATCCAGGACCTCGTCCTTTCGTCCTTCTGCTCATAGGCAGCTGTTGATTTCCACGTCCGACCATTTAGGGCTGTTTCTGCACCTTCGCTCTCCCGTTGGATTTGGTGGATTCTCTCATCGGCTGGTTTTGCGAGTTCCTTTGGGACACATTTGGTTCGGGGTTTGCCACTTCAGCAGCTTTAGAAGCCGTTGGGTCCCTTCTGGATTTTCCGTTTACCTTTTATTTCCATTCTCCATCTCATATTGCTTCTGGTTCTTATGTTTGGGCGTTAAAATTGCAAATATAAAGCCTCCTGTCTTGCCATACAATTAGAGATTATTCTATCCTCGGTGAGGGAATAATCAAAATTTTATTAAAGACAGGAGGCGAATATTTCCCTCACTTTACGTTCCCTCCCTGGAATTGGGTCTTTTTCTCTTATGATTGATTGGGGATATTATGTTTTGTAAATGCATGGTCTTGTATAATAAAGATTATTTCTATTATACAGTGGTGATTGTCCATGTGCATTTTATTCATCATGTACTATGATGTGCAAGTGATATTGTATGCATATGACATCTTGCTTTGACAGTTTACTTTCACGATGTTGTCTTTTTCTTGTAGTGTAATCTATTTTCCCTCTGGGTTTGACTATTGTTTCTCTGGATATGCATGCAACAAGGTGGATTCGTTGGTTTCCTTGCTCTCCTGCTCAACCTCATCAAAGAAAGAGGAAGTGGGAGGGTCTGCCTACGTGGTTTTATACTGCTGTTATTTTGTTCTGATTGGTTGTTTTGTTAACTATTTCTTTGCTGCTGGAGGTTTCAGTAAAGAAGGTAAAGCAAATGTGAAGCCTTCTGTCTTTAATAAAATTTAGATTATTCCCTCACCGAGGCTAGAATAATCCCTAATTCTAAGTTAAATCTTTCTATTAACATTTATATTTTATTTTCTCTACGGCTACTGTTTTTTTCTAGTAGATTTATCCAAGAGTTACCCTGCAATTTTGTGGTGTTAGAGCAATCTAGTCCTTTTCTAGTTCTTGATCCTAACTATCTATATATTTATTAAAATAATACCAATTCCAAAGGAAATGTATAACACATTGATCCCTATATAAATTTTGATTTTATGTATTGCTTTTGGGTTTATTTGGACTAGGGGCTTCACTGCTAATCTATAACACAGGATATTTGTTTAATTTTTTTCTGATAATATTTTGAGAACTTGGTGGTATCTTACCTTGCTTAGTTGGTTTGGAAGATCACAAATATGCTCCTTTTTTTTACACCATTTTAGGGTTTTTGTACTTTGAGAAGTTGACATATGAGGTTCGTACAACTCAGTAATGTTTATTCTACACAGCAAAGAAATAATGATAACAGTGCACAACAATATATTGTAATGGTGGGTTATATCTTACTTAATCCATAAGTGCAGTAACATGCAACCCTCTTAAAATGTGTATACATATGTATTATGAGATATAATAAAAGCACACATATACCCCAAAGTCTGGTATAATTATCCCTGCAGAAAATGAGAAAACAGAAAATATCTTATCGGGTAGTATAGTAATCACAGGTAAATACTTGGATAATATTATTCTCTTGCGGTATTACACTCACATTTTTCTGAGCCTGTTAAAATAACTGTCTCAGGTAGAAAAGAATAGGTGTAGTTTCAGACAGAGTAAGTGGCATCTTTTTCCTCAATAGTAGGAGAAACAGGAGAAGGCAACACCAGTTAAGGTAAAATGAACAATATTTATTGAACAGACAATATAAAATATTACATTCAAGTTACTGGAGTGCCATAGAGTATAAGTCCACAGTAATAGAACACATCACAATGCGTTTCAACGCTACTTGCAGCTTCCTTAGGTGCCTACAAAGTCCCATATGGTATTCCCAGCTTTTAAATTGAATTTGGCGACAAGAATGAGCGCCTACACATGCTCCCTTGGCTCCAATAGCCAATTCTAATACAGTGACACTTACACCCTTCATGGCCACCATCTTGGTGCTTGCAGCATGGCTCTGGTGGCCATTTTGTTGTTGGGTTTTTTTTTCTTATTTTTTTGTTTTTATTTTTAATTTTTTTCCTCTTTATTCCACTTAGTTTCACAAAGGGAGCCATATTAGTCCTCCAATTATGGGAGATCTCAATAGATGTAGCAGTCCCCAAAGGTCACTAGACACAATCCAGCTGCCATTTTTCTATTAGCCTATAGTCCATTAATATAGTGTGGGCAACATATATGGGGGGAAATTAAAAAGTAAAAAATATGGTCAATTAAAATTATGGGAATAGATCAATATATATATATATATATATATATATATATATACAATATATATATATAATATATATATACAAAAATAAGAGATGCACTCTAAGGACTTCTATAATCAATATACAGGTATTTATTTAAAAAGAAGGTTTACATAATCAAATCGATGTTTCGACCCCTCAGGGTCTTCCTCAAGATCAATGTGCCCAAATCTGTAAAGTCAATAAATAGTAAATATAATAAAGTACTCACCAATGGTGAAATGCCTGCCTCACCCTCTCCGTGCATACCTGGAAGTGAACCCGCGGTCACGTGATGTGCCGTGATACCGATGTGATGACGTGTAGCTGGTTGCTAAGATACCAGTGAAACAAATCATTAATAAGAGCGTGTAAAACACTGCTGTATCAATTAAATATGTGAAACTATGTGTGTTCTGTGGAATATACAAATAGCTAGTGATATTTACACTGCAATATATACTATTAAAGTGATGTTGTGACAAGTGAAAATCGATCAATAACAGTGCAAAATAAACAGTGAATAAACCCAGTGCAAGTAAAACATATGTATATTACATGATTCCCAGTGTGTAATATTATACTACCTTCTATCAATTAATCCAATAATAGAAGGAAGAAACACATATAATTATTCTAAATATCTCCTATGGCCAAAGCAGAGTACAGAGTTTAACAAGACAATCAGTGCAGTATAGAGCAAAACCCTAACCTAACAGATGTTTGTTATCTTAAAAGGTATTTATCAACATTTACAAAAAGGAAACCAGAGTTAGAAAGGTGAACCTTTAAATCAAAGTAATAGTGCTCATTCTTAAAGAGCTATATACTAATAATCCATCAGACACATATTACAAATGGAAAAAATTATCTCAATCAAACATATATAATAATGCTAATAAAAATCATTATCTCAGTAGTTGAAATGCTCGTAGCTCTGTTCTTGTACAGAAAGGACCTCAAGGACTATAAACAAAGAAATTTATCCAAAGATACATAGAAAAAGAGTTATATGTACGGACAAAATATGTCCAAATCTCACAAAAACATGGAGAATATAATATTTTCATTCAGCCACCTAGGGGCAACTGTATCCAACCGATGTATCCATTGGGCTTCTCGTTGTAATAACATCTTAGATCTATCACCACCTCTTGGCATTGGGGGGATATGATCAATGGCAGTGAACCGTAGAGTGGGTAATCTATGTCCCATGGTCAAAAAATGTTTAGCCACAGGCTTATCACTATGTTGGTCTCTAAATGCCATCATACTCGTGGACCGATGTCCTCGTATCCGATCCCGTACTGTTAAATCAGTCTTCCCCACGTATGAGAGACCGCAGGGACATGTGATCATATATATCACATGGTCAGTGGTACAAGTGATATAATGTGATATTTTAATTTTTTGACCACTATGTGGGTGTGCAAAAGTCATACCACTGACCATGTGACTACATGTCAGACATCCACTGCATTTGTAACATCCCTTCTTAGAAATCATTGTGGTTTTATGATAACATGCTACTGGATCATTTTTCACCAAAAGATCCTTTAAATCTTTGTTCCTTTTGTAGTTTGGATCGGCATCTCCTGAGACCAGTCAGGTAATGTTTTATCAGATCAAAGTATTCCCCAGTGCTTGTAGATGGATTGTCTAATTTTAGGTGTACCTGTATGGGATGTCATTGGGAGATAAATTCTAGGTTTAGAAGACTTAGTAGATGTATTTCTTATTGTTGGATCGATTCTCTCCTTGTTCCAAATTTCCAGTGCTTTAGTCTTGGCCAGTTTTAATACAAGCGATGAATATCCTCGTTCTCTAAATCTTTCCCACATCTCTTCAATCTGAGTATCACATCTTTCCATTTCTGTGTTATATCTGAGAACTCTAAGGAATTGAGATATGGGTAATGACCGTTTGAATTGTTGTGGATGAAAGCTACAGGCCATTAGCAAGGTATTACGGTCAGTCTTTTTCCGGTGTAGCGTGAATTCCAGTTTGTCATTTTTCTTATATACTGTCACGTCCAAAAATTTAATTGATTCCAAATCATATTGAACAGTCAATCTGACAGGTGTCAGTAATTGATTGATT